GAATGAGTTCACTAATAGTTTAGGCAAAGTTCTAGGTAATCGGAAGACCCACCCTGGGTGTGAGTGCTATCCACCCTCAGGGACAGAGGGAGGGCTGCCACGGCGCCTGCTGCTTGCTGCCTCCCCTTTTGCCACTCTGCTGGCCTGCTGCCTTTTCCCACCATGGACTATTTCTCCTCTGTACTGCCCTTGCTCCTTGCAGCCTCCCAACCATGAACTGAAATCTGTGCAAACTGTGAGCTACTTAAGCCTTGACCCCTTAATGTGTAGCTGTTGGATATTTTGCCTCAATGCTGAGAAAAGTAATTAAGACCCTGGCATCACACACACACACACACACACACACACACACACACACACACTCATGTCAACCCAAGTGATAAATGAGAAGTGGCCACATTCTCCCTCCTGCTTTTCTCTCCTATGGAACGAAGAAATCCTTGAATGCAGTCTGGCCCCAGGACAATACATGTGGAACAAAACTCCCCCGGGGACCTAGGAGAAGACAGGGTAAGGAAGAGCCTTATACCTGTACCTCAGGCAGAGACGCTAGCCATACACTGCAGGCCTCTGGGAAAAATGAACGCTTCTCTGTCATCGTTCGCTTTGCCTGCCAACTTGGCTACACTAGGGTAATGGCTACCTGGTTGTTCAACCCAGAGCTCGTCTATGTGGTACTGTGCAGACACTTTGCGGATGTGGTCACCATGCTCTGTAAGTTTGCTTTATGAAATGGAGATTATTATTCTCCATAATGTGGATTGGTTTCAGCAAATAAATTCAAAAGGCTTGAAGGTCAACACTCAGGTTTCTCCGAAGAAGAAATTCTGTCTCATCCCAGTAGTATTGGCTTCTGCTTGGGAAATTCCAGCTTTCTGGACTCATGAGAGTTTTCAAAATTGCTAGCCATTAAAACGGTGTTCACTTCATGACATGTAAGACAGTCTGGAGGACTAGAGAAATACAGAGGCACACGGAAACAGCTCTCTCCATAAAGAGTGGTTTTAGGGCTGGGGAGATAGCTTGGTGGTCTAAGGGCCCACCTGGAAAATGCACGGTCATGATGTCCATCCCTAATAATACCTCCCCAAAAAAGAGTTGAATGTGAATCAGCAAACCCACCATCACAGTCCCTCAATGAATTCCCTGTCCTTAGCCCTGTTGAAGATTCAGGAGTCCTTGAATAGACAGGTTGGAATACGTGATGGTTCCCCTTGTGCTTTCATGTCTGATGATGCTGGTTGCAAAGGCAATAAAGGCCTCATCAAGAAGCACAGCAGTTGGGCTGGTGAGATGGCTCAGTGGTCTACAGCACCTACTTGGAACAAGCTTGGCAAAGCACAGGGACCGCAGTTCAATCCCCCAGCACCACATGCCAGTCAGCCCTGCCCCCTGGTGGGCTGAGCTGGCCACACACACACACACACACACACACACACACACATTTTTTTTAAAGCACAGCTTTTTGATTCTGTGGACGTGGGAGTTAAGATGCTAACTTAATATTGTAAGTTTGGACTTCTCTTGACTCTGAATAAGCACACAAAGATGTAGAATACTGGGAGGATGGATTAACGACTTTCTCTCCATATATGCATATATATTATACATAACATAGATGAAAATATTTTTACATACTCCTTATCATCCAAAATAAGATTTACTAATACTAGATAACTTTGTACTACAGCCTTTAAATTATAACATATCAAAAACCATGAACATTTCCCAGCAATTTTGCCTCACCTTCTGGGGAAAGGTTAGTATTTTTTTTTCTTGTGGTATGAAGCATATTTGCAGCATGTTTATTCAGATTGTTACTCTGGTCTGGAATACGTCTAGAAATTAGATTTAAGAGCTGTGAATAGAGCTTCACATTGATAAGCCTTAGGCTGAAAGGCTTAGTTAACACGTCTACTTGGGTAGAGTACAGTTGCTTCAGCGCAGGATCAATCAAAGTATTGTTGTGGAAGCATTTTGTAGAAGTACTATAGAGCTGCAGCATAAGCCCCTGCCCATACCTTTCCCTTCTGCTGGACTGGCCGATACACTTCAGACGTGCTAGCCCTTACAGTTCCATGAGCCCACGCCTTGGAGTCAAACTATTAAAAGTATGTGGATAAGTATAAAGATATTGTTCTATGTATGTCACGAATCCTAAACAATAGCATTATGTATCCCACTGAAATTTTGTTGCATTTTGACAATAATTGACTGAAAG